TCTCTCTCTCTGTCGCTCTCTCACTCACTCACTCACTCACCACATCTCTCCTTCTTTTTCTCCCCACCTCTCTCTGTCTCTCTTTCTCGCTTTCTTCTCTCGCTCTCTCTATTTCTCTTTGGGGAAACATGGAGAGAGAGAGAGAGACAGAGAGAAAGAGAGAGAGAGAGAGATAGAGAGAGAGAGAGAGACAGAGAGAAAGAGAGAGAGAGAGAGGAAGAGGAGAAGAAGAAGGAGGAGTATGAGGAGGATAGGTAGGTGGACGCGAGAGTAAAGTTACGTGTCTGATAAACTCATGTACTAACAGTGTATGGCCCCTATAATAAATTACTTTAGACCGATGAAGAGCTTATTGAAACCGAGAAGTAGTTGACTGAAACTAAGTGCTTACATCACAGCAGCATTGTTTATTCTCGACAGCTGAGTTACCACATGTTTGAAGAGATTCACTTCATAGCCGAACAGCCAGCAGCGGGATTAACATTAACATAACTTATTGGCAAAACACGAGTTTATCGAAACACAAAGAAAAACAGCCAAAAAAACCAAAGGCTAAAACTAGAAAAGCTAGCTTATTCTAATCACTCGAGAAGTAAAATAAAATAAAAGTAGGAAGAGGTACTGCGTTAACCGTGCGCGCGATAACAAGACGGGAAATTCTGACGTAGCCGGAAAAGCATCTCATTTCGTGAAATAAGTAAAACAATCATCGTGAAAACCTTCGTCAAGCACCTAATAAGACGAATTCAAAGAGCCGAGGGTAACTCACACAAGGTTCCAACCGTCTTCATCTCAATGAAGCTCCATCTCAGAGATAACAAAAGATAAGAAGGCGCGCTGAACGCTGCTTTTTTCAGAGAGAGATGCTGTTCCCCGCTGCAAAAACCAGCTGCAATACTCTCCTATTAGATATACTCGCGTAATTATACATATATACATATATACATTATATATATATATATATATATATATATATATATATATAACGAAATTTCTATTATGAACCAATTAATATCTAATTTAAAATTATTTAGTTTTTTGATTAAGTAATCGATATGTAATTATTATATTACATTAGTGCGATATTTACATCTGAGCCCAGCAAAAACCATGTTAATTTTAACTACATTTCAGAGCGCATTTATTTTCTCATGCTGATCTATCTATTCGCTTCTACAAACCCAGGTTAAGCACCACCTTATTTATTATGCACATCCGTAAGGACCAAGGGAGGTTCATGTTCACGGAATAATACGCCACACAGAACACCAGACACGTACGGAACAATATACAACACAGAACAACAGATGTAAAAAGAGCAATGTATCACGTGAAACAACACAAAAGACCATGAACGTAACCATATGCCACACAGAACAACAGACATGCGGAGACATGTACGGAACAACATATACGTGTATGGAACAACACGCCACACAGAACAACAGACCGAGTGATTATAGGTAAAGCCCGACGCCATGATTAATTTTGATTTTTGCCAATATGAAAAAGGTCACCTGTTTCGAATATCGTCATCAGGTCACGTGATTCCTTTTATAGAAACTCGTTAAATTAAAAAGTTCTCTATCATGCTAATCGATGCACTCTCTGAAATTTTAAACGGCCCGAGAACGTTTTTAAATGGCCCGCGGGAGTAGATTTCATCAAACATTGATGACCGTCTGGGCATTATAATTGCACTCTGCTAGCTGATAACGGAATCCCTACTGGCAGCGATTGCTCCTGGCACCGTACTGGTAACGTGCCACTACGCAGAGATGCCTCGAGAAAATTGGAAGCCACCTGGGCGTGCGCGTCGGTTTTTTTTCTTTTTTTTACATCGTTGGAGCGAAACATTTGCGATCTTACGTTGAATCTAATTAAACGTGAGCCGCCCTGACATTTTAGTTCGGTTAACTCCAATTAAGCTGCAGAACCTGCGAGTCACGGTCAATACCATACAGTAAATGCCCCGTATCTCAGCAACGATATGCTATATATGCTATAGCTATAAACTACAGCTACGTGGTGTCTCTATCAAACATATTACGGGTGCCCATGCATGGTCAAGCCTAGCGTGCACCGCAGACTATTGACGTAATAACAACACACGGGAAACATTTGTCTTAAACCGAAAGTCGCTGTTTTGTAACAGATTTTGTTCGAAATTTATTCAGAATTAAAACAGATTGCTATCCAACACGTTTGATATTCACGAGATATGTTTTGTCTCTACGAAGAAAAAATTGACCAATCGACGCCCGCCCAGAGATCATGTGACATCAGTGATCACGTTAGCAAACTGTTTATTGGTGGGGAAAACTATGCGAATTAAACCCGTCGTGGATTATGGGTTTTATCCCCCTTGCTCTACTAACACAACACGCATATTTCGAATTCAGATACGATCACTTGAGGTAAAGATTCATTCGGTCGACAACAAAATCAAGCACAAGAAAAATCCACGGCACCATGCTAACGCATCGCGTTTCAAATTCTGCATTCCGCCGTGGAGAAATTTAACGCTTACGGAATGCTACTCCGCTATTTAAAAAAAGAAGCAAACACCCACACAGAACCACAATCAAAACTGAATCACAATTTCTCATGATTTGAGCTTTCGATAAAATGAACGTGTAATCGGTCCACTTCTCGTCGTGATGAGACCTTTAAAGGTGCATCGTTGCAGACGTGTATGAAGGAAGGATCAGCGACTCCTGGCACGCCGACTGCTTATATGCGATGCCACGTTGGGATAACCAACCGCTGCAGTGGAGCGGAGCGTCTCACATTTCACCCGCGCGACAAGACCGAGTCATAGCTCACAGCGCGACATCACTAGCGAATTACCGTGCGTGCGTGCGTGCGTGCGTGCGTGCGTGCGTGCGTGCAAAGCGCACCAAGCATGCAGCATTCGAGTAACGGGATTACAGACACCGCATCAGTCAAAACTCTTCGTTTCTCTCTATCCACTCTCTCCTTCCGTCTCTCTCT